GAGTGTGTGTGTGTGTGTGAGAGTGTGTGTGTGAGTGAGTGTGAGTGTGAGTGTGTGTGTGTGTGTGCACCATCAGGCCTTTGTTTTTTCAAGATAATTGTATATTCTTTAATTTGGTTGACGCTTATTATTAGTGTTAACCAAATACTAGTAACAATATGCTGACATTAATGATGACAGTCTGATGTATATCATTTGACACCTGAAATATCATGTTTAGCGAGTATTAAAACATTTTCCAGTTCCCTTGTGGAAATTTTTTAATTATAATAACTGAATTCAGTTTAGAGGAAATATTTGAGGGAAGAAACTAGGTGTATCAAACTGTTTGTGTAGAATTATATTTTATTCAGCGTGTGCTTCCTCCATTGCTCGTCTGAACATGATCAGATATTTGTAACCCTGCAACGCTTGTCAATATATTTTATAGCCGACTACAAGCGCTATTGATTGCTCAACTTTCAGAGATCAGATTACTCCAAATCAGTAAAACACAAGACCGAGATCCTGCGCTTCCAAGACCTGCGGTGCCTTCGTGCTAGAAAATCATTTATGATTGGCGTGCATGTTATATTATTTTCCCTGGAATTGATCTTTGCTTTCAGATTCAACCGTTATATCTTCTGACTATACTGAGCCAAAATTATTATTTATAATAATTGTATTCAGACACTGCACTGCAGTATGTATGTGTGTGTGTATATATATATATATATATATATATATATATTTGATTACTGATCTAATGTGATGTATTTAGGCTATGTAATATATTTTTATATATAGCCAAAATTATTATGATTGTTTTATATTACTTAGTTGCAAACACGATTAGATTGAGGAGTTCATGTTTTTATGAACACATCTTTCTTGTTCTTCACTAAAAATCAATCTACGTAGATGTTCTGACATTTAAACACACAAGAGGCCACTTTATTGGCAGATTAACTGAAATGCATCATATTTGTTTACAATAAGATACATTTCAGAGCTGAAATAAAAAGACTGACTCAGGTATAGTTTGTGTAATAAACAGGATGACTTGTGCAGAGGCTGCGTTTTCATTAGTATGACTGATAGCAGGATTTGCATTCAGTTTTGTGTTTCACGTTCAGTAAAGACAACAAGGAAGATGAGACGTGAATAACACGCATCTCATAATGCATGCAATTTACATTTGAACAAATGAATCAGGCCCTGTAACCGGAGCAGAACAAGATCTCGTCGTTCTCTGTTATTGTTATGAGTGACTCTGCACAGTTTGATATGACTAATGCAAATTTATCTTGGGAATTTGCAACATTTGCTGCTTTACAGTCCTCATCCAAATGAATCTCAAACATGATTAAATAATTTAGTTTTTTATTAGAACTTTTGAAGAGTCCATCAGATGTTCTTTCATAAAGCACAGGCAGATATCTACTGAAAATGATAGATGTTAAAGTGGATTTGGCCTCAAACGTGGTTCTTGACGATGCCGTGTTGACTGCAGTATTTACAGTTCCTGTAATCAGCCAGACTTGTTCTGTATGTACGCTTCCCATCCCGTGTTTATTCTGAGCATGAACTATTCTGAACTGGAAAAGTGCATTTCTTAAAACAAGGTGTCAAGCTATTATTATTTATAATTAATTATTATAGTGATTCCAGTACTGCGCTTTCTTTAAATAATTGGCAGTGTTTTGTGAAGGCATGCGCTTTCAGATGAATTCACATTCTGTTCATTTTACTGAAAGATGACGAAACATTTCTGTGTTGCTTGCCATTTCTACTTCATGCATTCAGTATGAGGATCTATAACAGACTCCATATGGCGCATGTAGATCGTCTGCTGCCCCCTTTTGGCTACAAAACACAGATTAGAGCATTACCAAGTCGGTTTCGATCAGACATGATTTCTCTTTTGTGTGCGACTTTTTTCATCCTTTTTAGAAAAAAACAAACAAACTCTTAGATCCTTGCATGATTTACTAGCATCACATTAGTTTCCTGGCGAACAGCATGGTGCTTTGGAGTTCTCGTCGTGTTCTGCTGATATCATGTTCCTTCTGATAAAACAAAAACAACATCTGGTACAAAACAAACTTTTTTTTTTTACCATCTATTATATGTGTTCCTTATACTTTTAACAATTGTTTATATGATTTCTTAAAATAATATATTAGATTATAATCTATTTAAACAAACTGTTTTTGCTTTAGTTTAACCTACATTTTAGCTGCCATTTGATAAGTAACTTAAATCCAGACAATTCTACAGTGAACCATTTGACGCGAGCGCGCGAGGAATTCCATTGACTGCTCAGATCCACGGTTCGGACCGTCTTCTGATTGGTCGAGCCTGTCGAGGTCTGTCATCGCTGACCAATGAGAACGTTCGGGGGGAAGGCCCATGCAAATGAGCTCTCCTGGCTGGCGTTCCTGCGCTGCCCATTGCCAGTAAAAGCGCGTCGCTGCCGAGAGATTCATTCACAACGCATCATCCTTTCCACTGCGAGCGGCGTCCTGGATTTTGGAAGAACACTTTCTCTTTAAACAGCTTTATACAGTGTTATAGAACTGAGTGCATGCACTTTTTATACAGTTAAAGACTGAAAGCGAAAGCGCTGGCGTCAGGTGCGCGGTTTGCAAGGTGCGCAACTTTACGCACACTTTCGAAAGGATACGCGAGCGCAAGATCGTTCTCTCTTGATGGCACCTGCTGAAAGAGCAACAACGTCTCCATAAACTGTCTTGAGTTCGGTTCAGACTGAACGGCACGGTTTGCGCCTCACCAAACGGATAGTAAGACGCGCAAACTTTCCACGTCGCGCTTTAGCTATTACCTTTGATCCGTCCGATCAGCTGCTCGTCTGGAGCCCTGGATCCTGATCCTGACTCTGACTCTGACTGAGAGGGTGTTCAAAAGATACCAAATGGTTTTTCTTTGGGACGCCAAATACGGTAAGAGCCTTTCTCAGCTCTGCGTAACGGCGAGTCTATTTTTACGCGTCACGTTTCATGATGTCTGAATGTTCATAGCTGTTAATAATCACCGAAAGCTTTAACCTTAAGCGAAATCGTGATGTTAATGTGACATTCCCGGTCAAAAACACTGCAGATTCTCTCTCTCTCTCAACTTCACTTCGCTTTATTTGGCACGACTAAATCTATAGTTATATCGTCAAAGCAGTGTAAAATAATTAGAATAATATAAGAATGCAAAAGGATTAAGCAGGTAGTATTTTCAAACAAAATAGCATTGCATTAAAATTAGAAGTCAATCGGCAAAATGAACAAAAAGCAATACGTTTATGAATAAGTAATTAAATATGAGTTATAAAAAATAAAGATATTGAAAATAAGACTAAATTGAGAGGCAAATCAAATTAGCTGATCTAAAAATGCATTAGAAATGTATATAAAAATGACTGAATTGTAACAGAGGTACATTTTCCATGATGAACTTGTTTTTAAATGTCATTTTGATATTTGTAATCAGAGATTAAGTAGTGTTAACTGTCCCAAAAAATGAAGGAAAAATGTTATCAATATTTAAAAAAATGCCAAGTAAATCAGACGGAGTGACTGAAATCATTATGTTGTCAAACGTGAGAAAAAAATAAATAAATAACAGAGATGACCTGCACAGACCCTCATGACTGTCAATGTCTTTATTTATTTTTTTATATTGCATTTTGACCTTTTTATATTCATAATCAGGTCAAATGGAATCATCTTGATATTTATGTATGATATTTTAAATATGAAAAATATGATTGAACAATGATTAGATTAGATTATGAAAACTTTCATAAAATCAGAAAGCGTGTAGAATATGCATGAAACCGATTTGAATATAAAGTTCATATTTTTAAGAGCTTGACAGAAGCGTTTTGAGAACAAAAGAAGAAATTATTTAAACGTCTAGTTTTCATCCCACTAACTGTGCTGTAAGAATAAGTCTTTGCATTGTCATTGTTTTTTAAATTCTCATATGTCTGGACTATGTGTGTATGTGTATGGCTTCCGGAATGTGTGCTGTTTTGTCCATTCTGTCTGCAAATGCAAATCTGTTTTTTCTACACCCCATCTCACTCACCCCAAACACCCATCATCAAACTCCAGTTTTAGCCTGATGTAGCGGCTGTGTCTGTTTATACTGGGCGGTGGGTTTGGAGAGAGTGCAGTGGCTCTCTGTGCGCAGCACTCATGTGGCATCGATTGTGGTTGGCCGAATGACCGCGGGCCCCGGCTCTGTCTGACGGTTTTAATGCTTTCATACGCCTGCGAGGCACTGCTGCTGCTGCATGGGCTCCGGGACGGAAGCCAACCAGGGTAACGGCACCAGAAGCTGCTTGGAAAAAGTGTTTTTTTTAAATGTAGTACTTTGTGCATGCCAAAAACTAAAAGACAGAAGCTTACACTGAGCAAAGCTGCAGATGACGACATATTGTGCAGTAAAGTAACAGTGGAGTGAAAGGATGTAAATAAGGGAAGCCATGCATTATGTTGATTTTACTATGTTTAAGTAGTGTTTTAGTGGCCCAACTCAAAGTAAAATTACTGTAATAGAAGTCCAAAAGTGTCTTATTGCTTTTAAGACACCAGTGTTTAATAAATAAATGATTTTACTAGAAATTATTATTCTGCCTAGTAATACAGTGCTGAGCAATGCAACATCTGAGATGTACTTAATTGCGAAAGTGATGGTTTGTTTTACACTTTTTTGCACTTTTCTTATTGTGACCATGCATTACAGTGCATTACAGTGATTTTACTATAGTGGTTTTTTTGGCCCAACTCAAAGTAAAATAACTGTAGGCCTACTACAGGCAAAAAAAATGTCTTATTGTTTTTATTTAAGTTACCAATGTTTAATAAATAATTATTAATTTTACTAGAAATTATTTTGCGTAGTAATACAGTGGCAAGCAAGGCAACACTTGGTGCATTAATATAGATGTGCGGTTACAGGTGTGCATATCAGTAGCATCGACTGTTGCTTATTTAATCTCATTTTAGACCTGTAACTCAACATTTTTTGAAACATCTCAGATTTACTTTTTGCAAAATTGTGAACTTTTTAAATTTTCTGTTGAGTTGAGTGAAAGGCCTAATGCAAGTTTGCGTTTCAGAACCTGCGCCTGGGCGACGCTTCACGCCTCCCTCGACCACCCTGAGCTCGGGGAAGATGAATGAGGGGTTGCCCCTGGGGCCTCAGGAGAGCAGCGGCGCCGCCCTGATGGGCAAACTGCGCATGGCTGACCGGAGCATGGTGGAGGTGCTTTCCGACCACCCAGGAGAGCTGGTGCGCACCGACAGCCCCAACTTCCTCTGCTCCGTCCTGCCAACACATTGGCGCTGCAACAAGACACTGCCCATCGCCTTCAAGGTACCTGACCGCAGACCACTGGTATCTGTGAATGACATCTTATGGTTTAATAATATTGTGCAATATGAAGAACTATGCATGCATTTTTTTTCTCAGGCTCGAGGACGTTTTAAAATCTTACAATCTGACATTGGCCTTTTTTAATGCACATCCTTAATTAAGCTAATGATTTGGCGGGAAGCGTCAGTAATTGTTGTTAATCTCCTGTTGTCACTGGTGACCTCAACAACTTTCATCATCATCATCTTCCGCATTTGGCAAATGACAGTAAAAATGCGAACCACCCAGTCTTGCCAAAACCAGAGCGTAGTGCTGTGAGGCATGTGTGTGCTCTGAAACAAAGAGCCAAAGAATGTGCTGACATTTACAGTTAATATGCAAATAACCTGCTCATTTAGTTTAGATGTGGAGATATTGCACAAGTAGACGTGACGCAGGACTGTAAAGAGGATTTGAATGTTGTTTGGTTTTCATTTTCACCCTCTGCCCAATGTTTTTGCTTAGTGATAAAATAATTAAATAAGATCTTTTGTTAAGTCTAATAATAGTATATGCACACTAGTGTTCAAAAGTTTGGGGTCAGTAAGATTGTTAAAAATAAACAAATAAACACATAGATACATAAAAAAAAAAAAGTAGTTGAAGTAATGATGCTGAAAATTCAGCTCTGATCACAGCAATAAATTACATTTTACAATATATTCACACAGAAAACAGTTATTTTTGTAAAAACTTTGTATAATTGAGCAAATAAATGCATTTTAGAAATCTTAAATATATATTCAATCAATGGTTTTTATCATATTGTTCATATATATATTTTTTTTTCGTCTTTTTCATTATTCGTCCTACTTTTATCATTGTGGCGGAGTGTGATAACTGATTTGTTTTTAAAATGCAGTTTTGACGAAGGTTTAAACGTATCTTACATATCTTCTTTATTCATTGGTTGACAGGTGGTTGCCCTCGGTGACATCCCTGATGGCACTTTGGTCACAGTGATGGCCGGCAATGATGAGAATTACTCTGCCGAACTCCGCAATGCCACAGCCGCTATCAAGAATCAAGTGGCTCGTTTTAATGACCTGCGTTTCGTTGGCCGCAGCGGACGAGGTAAAATGCATATAACGCTTTAAAAAATAACAGATTTGCGCCTCACCTAGACATACACATGTTTGAGAAGGAAACAGTTGATGTAGACTCACCACTGAGCCGTGACGGAGATATTTTAATGCCAGTGTCTACGTGTGTACATGCTTGGTTAAATGTGTGTGTTCCTGTGTGTTTGATATAGAACTCACACATGTCAGCACAGTCCGTTACCTGTCGCTGTGGCACGTGGCCAGTGCAGTCAAATACTGCAGATCTTATCTATTTAAATCACAACACTTGCTAGTCATCCAGTCCTTTGTACCACCGTCTGATTGTTGAACTGCTGTGGTGGCGATTTTTGTGGCTTGTATTTTAGATATTTAACCCTCTACCGCACGCATTATGATAGACCTATAGAAAAAAATATTTGAATCTTTTTCTTTTCTAAGAATGGCTTAACTTGAAGTGCTGTAAAAAAAAATTTGGAAAAAAATATTATTTTAAGGTACTTTATGATATGTTGTTGCCATATGGCTACACCATGCGGTAGAGGGTTAAAGCAGCCAAAATGTGACTTGTGAGAAAATGAGGAGTGACTTCTTACTGTATTTGTGATGTATGAATCGTCCAGCTTCCGTAATGACAGAGTAGTTAGTCAAAAGAATGACTGGCTTCTGGGAAAACGAGGGGTCCCGCAGGGCTCTATTCAAGGCCCGATGTGATTTCGCTGATATAGCCCTCAGCGCTAACACCACTGCTTTTAACCTACATGTCTGGGCCTGCGATAAATATACGGATGCATACACACTCCTTTGTCCTGCTCTCTTTTGTCTGCGTCATCATTTGAACACAGCATAATAGAGGCAACAAAGTCGATGTTTGCAACAGGTGTGCTTGCGTGGTTTGAGCACAAAATGCATGCATTGAAAATTGAAACTGAGTTTGTGTACAAAGAAAAGCATAAATGTTTAGTCGAGATTGTTAAACAAAACATATTTGTCCATTTTACTGCATGAAAGTCTTGCTTTTCAGTGCATTTCAGACACGCACATCCTCACAGACTGTTGTTTTTCTGAGCAACGCGATGTTTGAGAGCACCAAGAGCAGCTGCGTTCTGCTGCGATGGAAGTGATTAGGTTTAGTGCCGGAAAAGCAGCAAGAGTGAAAAAACAGCAAGAGCGTGTTAAGTAAGGGAGAAATGTAAACTATGCATTTCTACACACACTCTTGCTACTCTGTATTATTCAGACGAGTAGATAAGACAACAGAGACTGTATCTGTGTGGCTTTTTGTCCATCCATCTTTGTTTTTGCAGCATCGTGAGTCACTTGATGTCTTCTTCAGGCACATTTATATGCACACATTTATAAAGTTTCTTGCTTTGTGAGTTTGACTTGCCCATGCACACCAACACACCGTACAGTGCTCTACAAAACAGAAACATATAAACAAATTATAAACAAATTCCCCCCTTCACACACACACACACACACACACACTATGTAGGGACATCCCCTTGAGAAACGCTCTGCACTTCCTCCCTGTTTGGGCATTGAGCCTCTCAGACAGAACGTCTCCCATCCAGACGCTAAACCACTGAACCACAGTCAGTGTGTGTGTCTGTGTGTGTGTGTGTGTGTGTGTGTGTGTGTGTGTGTGTGTGTGTGTGTGCTAGTGCAGAAGGTTTTGTGATGAGTGTGTTAGACAGGAACAGATGAGTCAGTGTTTTGCATTTATATTTCTTGAGAATTCATATACAAAATACTACTATCGAATTATTGCCATATACTGTATACCAGGGTGATATAAATGTTTAAAAACCAGTCATATACATGTGGCAGTACCATGGTATCAGATGATATTGACGTGTACTATGGTATTTACATGGTACTCAAAATAACACCATGCTAATACCATGCTGCATGTCCTAAAACATGGTATTATCATGGTACTGGGTCCAAATACCATGGTATTATCATGGGACTCAAAGATACTTCAAAGAAGCACCATGGCACCATTTCCAAAAAAAAACATGAGTAATTTTTAAGCGATTACTATGGTATTTAAATGATTCTCCAAGGAACTTTGTGGCAGTACCATGGTATCAGATAGTTGGTACTTTGTTGGTAAATACCATGGCATCATGTCCAAAAAAACATGTTAGTATGTTTTGTACGTGAGGTATTACTGTGTTGCCATGTTCACTTGCAAAAAAAAAGTACCACGGTAATGCCATGTTTTTGGACAGGTACCATGGTTCATGAATTTTAGTATAATTCACTATATTTCAAAATTAAAAAAAACAGTATAGCTGTTATTTAACACATACCATGGTACTAAATGATTACCTTATTCATATATCATGTATCATGATGTGATATTTACCATATCCAAAAGCATGGTAATATCATGCTGCTTTTTTTTTTTTTTTTTGCAGTGATTTATTACTGTGGTGCCATGTTTTTAAAATCAAGGTAAAACCATGATACTTTAATAAACTTATCGTGGTACTGATGATTTATTAGGCTATATTCTTACACAAAAAAGTGCCATGGTACTACCATGATTTTTTGGATGTGTCCATGTTAGTACTTTGGAGTTCCATAGAAATGCCATGGTAAAGTGCCATTAAGTACTGTATATGTAATATTACCATGGTACAGCTACAGTAGTGGCTGTTTACTATGGTATTTATGCAGTTCTCGAAGGTACCTCAAAGAATACCATACTATATGTCCAAAAACATATTACTGTAATTATCATATTATTGTATTACTGTGTCCAAATGCATAGTTATGCCATAATTTGACACATACCGTGGTACTGAATGACTACATGGTTTTTACATGTAAAATATCATGGTACTTTTCTATAAACTTATTATAACGAACGTTTAGTTGTAAAAGCAGAGTGTTAGCTCAGTGTCACAGTGTTATAAGTGTGTTGTCCTGGATGTGATGTGATGTTTGTGTTGTTTGTGTGTGAGATCATGGCAGACAGAAGTGGTTCGGTGTTGTCACAGCGACTGTGCTCAGAATAGCACCTGGCATCGCACTCGAGTGCTGATCCTTGGCGCGGCCCGTGTTTGTGTGTGCGCCGCACATCTGTGCATATGTGTGTGGTCAGGCCTCGTAGTTTGTCAGATTTTGGGGAACAGCTTGGAGTTTTTCCCAGCTCTATTTTTCTGGCTGAGTAGCGAGCAGCGCGTGTGCCTGTAACTGTACCTTGCTTTGGCTGGCGAGCTTGGGCCCGTTTAGCGCAGTGTAACTCAAACCCACTGTTGGCACGCAAGCGTTCACCTCCCTGGGGTCCATCTCATCGTCATAGCGATGAGTGACAGGTGAAGGCATCAGGAATTGTGGGTGCAGACCCCAGCTCCCATAATCCTCATAGTCAAATCCGGTTTGTGCCGTTTGGCACATGTGCACGTCTCGCCTCATAATGTCAGTCAAAACATGAGAAACAGCTCATTATGAAATCATCGTTTGAATGAGTTTGTTGAGTCATAGCAAGAGCAGCCAGAGTGTATTAATATAAACACTGGCTTTTAGGGCAGTCAGTGTTTTTAATGCAATTTTATTTTTTTTATTTTGGAGCAGTATGTTGAGGATTTGTTTCACACAATTTCACAGGATTTGTTTCACCTAATGTGGCAACAGTGACAACTAAATGACAATTATCCAGAAGTCGTTAAAAACTCAAATCAAATGTGTTTGTGATGCATAACCTTTTTTGTTTTTTTAGGAAATGAATACCTTTATTCTGCAACGACGCATTAAATTGATCAATAGTGACAGTAAAGACATTTATAATGTTACAAAAGATTTCAAATGTATCTGAACTTTCTATTCATCAAAGAATCCTGAAAAAATAAAATGCATCAGGGTTTCCACAAAAATATTGTGCAGCACAACTGTTTTCAACATTGATAATAATCAGAAATGTTTCTTGAGCAGCAAATCAGCATATTAGAATGATTTCTGAAGATCATGTGACACTGAAGACTGGAGTAATGATGCTGAAAATTCAGCTTTGATCACAGCGATTAATTACATTTTAACAGATATTCACATAGAAAACAGCAATTTAAAATCATAATAATATTTAACAATTTATACTGTATTTTTGATAAATGCTGCCTTGATGAGCAGAAGAGACTCCTTTCAAAAACATTAATAACTCTTAATGACCACGAACGTTTGAATGGTTCTTCTAATAACTCATAAATCAAATTACTGACCATAATATAGATGGTTTTCTATGGAGTTGTAGAATAACACGAAAAAATCCCAAAATTAAAAGAAAAAAATGAATTATATTTGACATCAAATAAAATTAAGCTAGTTTTTGTACAATTAAAAGTTTTTGCATTTAAACATTATTTTTATGACAGTTAAGCACGCTTTATGATGTGTAATGTGTCCTGATGTTTTTACTTAGATTTTTTTATTGTAATTTTCATTATGCTTGTAATTTCATTACTCAAAAATAATAGTAGTACTTAAAAATTACACCCAATAATGTGTATGCTTGGTTATTTTATTTTATATTTTATTTTGGCATGTTTTTTGGCATTACAGTGTACAGTTGAAGACTTTTTGCATTAAGGTGTTAAGAATTTGGCTGTGAAATGTGTTTAACTGTCATGAAAATAATGTCAATTGCAAACAATCCTAAATGTCCTAAAAAATTACTTTCATATTTTTTTCTTTTGACTTTGGGGTGAAATGCAATCTTGGCTGATTTTATGACTTTCACCTTTTTTCGGTTGTTTGTATTTGTAAGCATGTATATTGTTATCTCAGTGCATGTGAAATCTGTCCGTCTTTGTGCCGCGGCTCCTCTCGATATCTCACTGTATTATTTCTGACTCTCTCTCTCTCTTCGAGATCGTCCATGTGTCCTCTGTTTATTTGGGGACGCGGTCACATGACGCACTGTTTGGCCCGTGTCTCTGCTGTGCTGTCTGAACTCTGTCTCTGTTTAAGGACACAACAAAGGCGACTTTAAATTCCCTTCTGTGTCTGATCGTGGGGTTTTTATTGTGACACGAGCACTTATGAAGACAGCCGTCCATCAGATAGATCAGCCATAATGTCTCCATCCAGAAATGCACGCGTGCTCAGTCTCGTCTCGCTTACTGTGTTTTACAGTCTTACACTCCTTTAAATATGTACATCTCACATGTAGCTACTAAAAAATATATCCTGTGAATACATGCTAAATATATTCTGCAAATGCTGAATTTCTGATCTGTTTGTCTGTGTTTTTCAGGCAAGAGTTTCACGCTCACCATCACCGTCTTCACAAACCCTCCTCAGGTGGCCACGTATCAGAGAGCCATAAAGATCACTGTGGACGGACCCCGAGAACCACGACGTGAGTTACCACACGCAATATAAATATATGAAATATAGTTTAAAAAATGTAATATCATATATATATATATATATACAGTGGGTACGGAAAGTATTCAGACCATCACATATATTAAATATATGTAATATATATTATATATATGTGTGTGTGTGTATACATATATGTATATGTATATACAGTATATATATATATATATAAATAAAATGTATTTACATATAATATAAATAAAAATATAAAAGCACATATTCACACACACACACACACACACAATTTTTGAGGCGATACATGTAATATGTGTACTGCCAACTTGTGTTTTTATAGTTATGTTCGTTATCACTCGTTTGATCAGTGTCAAACAGCGAATTAAAGTTTGTGTTTGATGTGGTTTGGCTGTTGGTGGCCGGATGGGTTTCGTTTTGTCTCTTCTGTGATTTCAGTCAGTTTGACAAGTAACTTGTGAGATTTGAGTATGATAAGTATGTTGGTTCACTGGAAACTTTTTATGCCACTTACAAGCCTGTACATAGTATAGTGATGGTATCTGACGTAAATACTATGGAACTGAATGTTTTTACCGTATGTATTAGATGGTATTCAAGGTATGGCAAAGAAAACCCGTGTTAATTTTTGTTAGTGGAATATTTTTATTTAAAATAATACTTTAAAAATGACAAATGAAACAAGAAAAAAGACATGAATGATATTAATATTGACAGTGAAAACAGTGAAAAATATGTTGTTGCATAATTTATGTAATCTTTTAATTATATTATTTTTAAGTTTTAATAATAATAATAATTTATATGTATTGTGTCTTAAGATTTTCATTGTTATAATAATCTTTATTATTATTATTATTATTATTTATCATTTATTTGAACTTGACTTTAGTATATTACATTATTATTATTAGCAGTAGTAGTAGTATTAGTATTAGTATTATTACGTCATTTTCATTGTTTTATTAGTAATTACATTTTTAATAATAATAATTTAATAATTATAACAATTACTTAAAAATGTTTATATGCATTAAATTAATTATTGTTATTATTATTATTAAGTGTATTTTTATTAAAGTACCAGGACTGGCATTAATATTGAGTTATCTTTCCACAAATTATTTGTATTGGTATACCACACTATTTGTATTGGTATTTCTCTGAATCATATTGGTCGGACTAGTGTACTGTGTGTGTGTGTGTGTGTGTGTGTGTGTGTGTGTGTGTGTGTGTGGGGGTGTGTGTGAGAAACACATTTAAGCAAGCTATAGATCATGGAATCTCTCCTCGCGTACGCAGACGACTGCGCGGATGAGTGCGGCTGATGGTTTCACACAGCTGCGACCGCGTCTTTTCCGTTTGCCTTTTTCTCTCATCGCCTGTGATCATTAATCCCACCGTGCTCTATGTGTGAGGTCAGAGCGACTCACACACTCACACACACATCAGACACCACAGCGCCCTCCTACTGGAGCAATGACACGCTCAATCAGCATCATTAGTAGCATGTGAGATGTACAGAAGTGTGTGTGTGGTCAGATCATGGTGTACATGCTGTGTGTGTGTGTGTGTGTGTGTGTGTTTTTAAGTGGCTTTGATTGTGTTAATGGACAGTCAGTAACTAAATCGTTCTCTCTCATCTCCATTGTGTGTGTGTGTGTGTGTGTGTGGTGTGTGTGTGTGTGTGTCCAGGCCACCGACAGAAGCCGGATGAAGCAGTAAAGCCAGGCGCGTTAGCTTTCTCTGAACAGTTGCGGCGAAGTGCCATGCGGTGCAGTCCACACCATGGCCCCGCCCCCAAACCCCCGCACCCCCCCCCC